TCGGATTTCTTAATTGCCGGAATCCTCTGCTCAAGAATCTCTCCATTACACCTTCTCTGTTGATAAAAATGATAGTTTTTTGGTTTTTGTTTTTTTTGTTTTCACTATTGGTCTTTGTGAGGGTGAGAATTCCGTTCATAACTTTTACGTAATTTCCCAGCTGGTGGTGTCAGGTGTAATAAGTGTGCTTTGAATCGCCGAAGGTTTGCATGGGTGGCGTAAGTCGAATGCCTCATGCAATCAATCACATTCCTTGATTCTTTTCTGCATAAATTGTCCAGTCCCACCCATATAAAACTTTACGGCATCCACAAATAATCCTGTAAACCACATAATCTTAATTATAAGAAGTGTCAACATGGCTAATTCTCTTTCAAAAGAACTGACCATGTGACAATTCTTAAATCAACTGCCAAAAGGCTAAGTGCCCAATAAAACGAACAAAAGAGAACCAAATATTCTTACCTCATTTATAAGTAATTTAGCCACGACTGTATTTATTCCTGACTTAAGATACAAGCAATTCAGTTCATGTCCCCTTTTGTCCTCAAGCGACTGAAAACCAAAGGGTGAGTATTAATATCTACTTTATTGGTTCTATCGTCATTCGTAAAGTTTTACATTTCGACATCCAGATATTCGACATGTCTTATTTTCAAAATATAATGATTTAGAAGTTCATTACCTACAAAAGCTTCGGAAAATACTCCCCGAGTATCTAACTCAGTCAGTAATGACTAATTTGTCTTCTCTTTTTTAGCAACCAAAAAAAGCTCAAGGTGCAAAGTACTTCATTGTCAGCCAATCGATTGTAATTATAGAAAAAAAACCCTTTAGTAAACGCAAAAGAAGATCTAGATACACTTCCAAGGACGTAACCTGTTCGGATTTCAAGTGAAAACAAAGAATAGAGCTCGAGGAAACTGCAGTAAATAACTAATAAATATGTCATATAATTCTATTTTTGTAAACCGCTTGGCCAACAAAATGCCTCACAACTCGGGTATAAATGTTTAACTGTACTTCATATGTCAAAGTACTAAACTCATTAATCCCCAGGAGTGACTAGGATCTTTTATCTCCTCACAATTTTGCGTACCGCTGAATCAAACACTAACATCGTGACAACAAAGGAAATGATCGCTCGATAAAGAAGCTCTTATTTTTCAAACAATCTCTCTTCTAGACCCCATAAGAAGTGTGGGGAGGTTAGTCTGACGTTATATTATGGCTTATGGCGTTCTTCTGTTTTTGTTTTGTTTAGCTTTATTGCTTGGCTTTGTTTTTGTTTTCTTTTTTATCCCTAATCCATAGAAAGGATTCAATACCTTTAGTCTTCCAATGGCTGTGACTCCAGTAATTTTCCTAATCAGCCTGTTGACATGCGCTATGGCTGCTGAATACGAACTGAGTACTGACGGTAAGAAAACTTGCAGTTTAC